CTTGGGACTCTGTACTTATTACCGAAAGTTTGTGAAGGATTTTGTAACTATAGCTGCTCCATTATATGATTTGACTAAAAAAAGGCCAGAAGTTTCAATGGACAGTTTTTTGCCAGCATGTTTTCAAGACATGCTGAAGGAAAAATTGGCCTCTGCTCCACTTTTAAAGCTTCCAGATCCCTCACTGCCATACATACTGGATTGTGATGCTAGTAATGTCGGAATTGGAGGAGTGTTGTCTCAGAAAGTGGGCGAAAACGAACATGTGGAGGCCTGATGTTATAGAGCGACTGTTGAAATTAAGTGTATCGTAAAGTTGTATTCGGAAAGAATAAACCAGTTTTATATAAGAAAGGACTTGTGTCGCTAAAGTTTCGTCGGAACGAATTTACGGAAAATTAACTAACGAACGGAGACGTAACAATATACAAAATAGAGGGCGTCTGGCAAACACTCGAGCCTTCATGATCCTTCTAGAAACTCATCACATGTTACCAGCGTCACGTGACTTCTGCTGTCGTAACAATAGTCTAGATTTTGGGATTTGCTTTGGTACTAGAATTAAACAGATTGCTTTTCCGGCATATTTTTAAGATGTTGGAATATTAAAATACTTGGAAACTGGTAACATTATAATGGCAAATAAGTTGTGTGGACATTTTAAATAAAGGAATTTTATTTAGCATACTGACTCTACCCACAACAAGGCACCAAAATTAATAAGGGTGAAAGACGAAGAAAATGTGGATAGTACAACTCATATAAAATTCATGTGGAAAATGATATGATGCAAGGATAACAAAATAGAGCATTCTTCTTGGCTTGAATCACAAACCAATTTGTACATGTCTGTACTTACAGCACCAAGTTTAAAGATTAGCTTCATAAAGAATAAATACATTATATTCTGCAACTTCAAATTTGAGAAAAATTCCCAAAGTTGTGTTTTGTTGCATTATTGAATTAAACTATAAGTTAAAACCAAAACCTAATCTGAGGAAAAAGTTATTTGCAAATCTTCCATAAAAAAAGCCAAAAGGGGATATTATATCAATTGTAAAACTACTCATGCAAATTGTAAATAAATTTTGTTATAATATGTGGTATTGAGCTGTCCTACATGTTTTCTACTCCTTTTAGTTTAAAGTTGAGTTCACTAAATTACTTCTTTTTCTTCATAATTTTCAAGATTGGAACAAAAGGAGGTTATATGCCTTCTTGTATGATTTTATTACTAGAATAAAATCATGCTTTTTAATCAGCACGCTGGGTTATTTTTATTGACAAATCTAGAAGTAGTTGCGGGTGGACTCGCGCATTATCTTTGCTACGTGTTGACCAACTGATCTGGCCCGGCATGGCCAGGTGGTTAGGGTACTCGACTCGCAATCTGCGGGTCGCGGGTTCGAATACCCGTCACACCAAACATGCTCGCCCTTTCAGCCGTGGGGGCGTTATAATGAGACGATCAATCCCACTAGCGCAGATAGCCCTCGTGTAGCTTTGCGCGAAATTCAAAAACAAACAAACTGATCTAATTACTGTTTTCTTGTGTCAGAAACTCGAACATTTATTGTCTTATTTAAAATAGTGTTGGGCCTGAGACACCAACAAATTATATGTAGATTTTTTCCTTACACTTTCACTAGATTTTCACCCAGATTTTACCTAGATCTCACTTGTGTAAATATTAAATGTATCTTTAGGTGACTAACAGTGTAATATTCATTTTGGAATTAAACTGTGTTTCTGTAACTTTCACCTCTACATGAGAACTCTTAAAGCTCTTACTTTCAATTGACAGTAAAACAGATTTGTGAATTTTTATGCAGTTTTATTTCCCAAGATCTCTTCAAGTTCTCTTGTAACATTAAAGTTAACTTGTTTTACGCTCACTAGTGAATGAATAATATATACCTTGCCACATAGGATAGCAGAGCACAATATTTTGTTTTTTAGGGGGTTTACCACAGTATTTGCTTTTGTGGAGTTTTCTGTTATTTTATGATAAGTGTATTTGTCTATGCTTTTTTAAGTTTAGTGTTATTGAGTTGATGCTTTGCACTTAATTAAGGAAATGGAATTTTTCACGAGTAGAAAGACTTATAATTAGCAAGAGTTTGTTGCTTAGAGTAGATGCTGTCAGGGAGATTTATCAGGTCTTGAAGAAGTTCTTTCTTGACCATTGAACTTTTATAAATACTTCAGAGGTCTATGATTTCTTTCTTGCAGAAGTCATTAATTCAGGAATGAGAATTGCCAAAACGAGGAAGGCAGACTTGAAGCTAAAACCAGAAAAGTGTATGCTCAGGTGCATGGAAGTGGAATTTTTTGCTTATATTGTGGGTAAAAATGGAGTCTCTACTGATCTTGTGAAAATTATAGTGGCTTCGAACTGTGATTAAATGAGAAGTATGTGTAATTTTACCAACATTTTGCGGCCAACTTCTCCAAGATTGCTGCACCATTATCTGATATAAAGTCAATGTGTATCTTAAAATGGACTGAGGAATGTGAGCCAACAATGTCCTGACCCTAAATACCAGGTGAGAGTTAAAAACATTTTTGCCATACAAACATCACAAAGAAAGAGATTCTACAACAGGTTGGATACTATAGTTATTATTTTGAAAGATCCATAAAGAAAAATGAAAGATCAAGAACTAGTTTTGATACTCCTTGTCACGCAGCAAGGTAAAGCACGGTCAGCATAGTTTGTGGAACATAGCTCAGATGCTTGTACCATGTGGTACTTGATTGAGCAGCTATGAGTGCTGGAAAGTGTGTGGACCATTGTTATAAGCCTCTGAAACACTGTTCTCAACCTATGTTGTAGCTAATGATCCTCAGAGTTCTTATGCAGGAAATTATTTGGACTTTGTATAGTGCAAAGACTGGAGGTAACCAAGGTGTTACATGCACTTGTTCTGACACGCAACAGTGGTTTTACCATCTACAGTTTAATCGAGACATTAAGCAGTGGTGTGAGCATTCAACTGGCGTAAACGGGGTAAACTCCTTTAGAGAACTGTTGGTTCACCTTTACCGCTAGTCCACTCCCAAAAACTGGATAGGTAATCAGCACGTGCTAGTCTTCATAATTTCTTCACTAATTGACTCAAAGCTTATCCATTGGCCAATACTTGAGCATAGCCTGTTATTGATGTGTCAACAGAACATTGGATAGTACGATGCAGTGTACCTGATAAAATCATATGGACCAAGGAACTAATTTAAATAGCCAGCTGTTCTCTGAGTATTGTAAAGTGTTGGAAGTGGTGAAGATGCACACTTTATTTTATCGTCCTAAATCTGATGGTTTAGCAGAACTGGTGATACAAACAAT